AGGGGAGAGACAGGAGGCTTAGGGGCTGCCGGAATGACTACCATGATTCAGGGGAAAGCAAGAGTAGATGCAGGTTCGGCAGAAAGAATCAAAGGTGAAAAAGGAGATTCAAGCCCTTGGAGGCCATCCGATGTGTTCTCACGACTTCTCCTGAGCGCCCGTCTCTGCTGTGGGGCGGGTTCCAGTTCCGCTCTACTCGCCATTTCCCATGCCAAGCACCTTTTCCTCCCCGCTGCCTTTACCTGTCCACCTCATCTTTCATACCTCCCTCTCTCCCTTTTATTTCTCTTCTCCCACTGCCTTGATCTCTCCTCCACTACCACTCTTCTTTGTCTCTCCTCTCTGCTTCCTCTGTGGCTCAGGCACGGCCACCCACACTGAGTGGTCTCTTAACTCGTACAACATGGGCTCAACATCACCTCAAGGGCAGGCGAGGGAAGGGAGGGCAGTCCCTGGGTGCTGCAAATGACTAGATGTTTCACAACTACCCCAGAGATTGACAGTTCAAGCGTGCCTTGGAAGACAGGCCTGGCACTCTTTCCAAACGGCCACAGCCGTGAGAATCCTGCAGAGGACCGTTCTCTGTGGACGTGAAGTTGGCTATGCGTCAGAAGCAATGGAAGTGACCACAGGTTTGGTTTAGCTTTGATTCAAGGCTGGGGGAGATACAGAGGGACGGCCTCTCTGCCCTTGCCCAAGGATGTCCTGAGACAGGTACCTGCAGTTTGAGAAACAGTATCAACTCTCCAAACTAGAGTCTGAGAGCATAACTCTGCTGCCCACCACAGTGCCCGCCTTTGTCCTGACCTCTCGCTTTAACTCCTTCCACTACTCTCCCCCAAATGGGTCGCTCACCCGATCAAGAGAACCATGCACATGCCAAACTGGGGGACTTGGAGCCAGATGCCAACCTCTGGAAGCACTTCCTGCAACAAATGCCCCAACAAAGAGGCCTGCAGTTTTCCAGCATGGCTCAATACTCCTGATGCTACATGTAATCCTTTTCTATGGAAGCCATCCAGAGACTACCTTTCCACTGAAGCGGAACTTCTCTGTTAATGAGGAACAATTTCAGCTTCAACTGGTGTCCAATCCAAACTAAGAGTGGCCCAGATAAGATAAAAGCCATGATCTCTTCTACATAGAGGGTATTTGGGGATGACTGGAAGTATCATGGCGTCATCTGGGACCCAGGTTTCTCCCATCTTTTCCCTCTGCCTGGTGGCATAGTGGTTTAGCCATTGCAATGCTGACTACAAGGTCTGCAGTTCAAACCCACGAGCTGATCTGTGGAAGAAAGATGAGACTACCTGTGTCCCTATGCATGAGTTTGAAAGCCCCACAGGGGAGTTCTACACTCATGCAAGTTGCTGTGAGGAAGAGTCAACCCCATGGCAGTGAACTTGGTTGGTTTGGGGCCATTAACATATTGCCTCATGGTCGAAGATGGCTGCTGAGACTCCTGGCATTTTACCCACATTATAGGGATGGACAGCCAGCAGTTTCTATCACTGATTACATAACAGATGTTCAGCCTTTTGCTCTGCTCAGCTGCCAGTCCTACCCTGTGAGACACCCCCCGCCTCCCTCCTGGGTACTTTCTTAGTAAATTGTACAGAACCTGTATTGTGTCCCTGTGATATTTCACGAGCGCTTAGCTCAGTGCCTGACATACAACAGAGCCATAGAAGGTGGCTTCTCTCAGGATCAGGAGAGGCTGGTGCACACACAGTATTTTTCTCAACGCAGCGTGGCACTGACCGTGGGGAGCACAGAGCCACCACTGAGAGACGCTGGGGTGTGTGAAACACACCCCTGAAATTGTCAGGCCTGAAGCCCAAACGACCTCACGGGTGGTCACTGCAGGAGGGTGGGGCTGCCCAGGCAGTGGCCAGACCTGCCACTGAGTGTGGTAACTACCACACACACACTCCTACTTCCTCTCTCTCTACCCCCCCGCTCCTCACTAGTCACCCCTTAGTCAGGGAGAGGGCAGGCGAGTTGTGAAATCCCTGTTTGGGAAAGGAGGGGTCTGTGTCTTGGCCACTGGGAGAGGAGAGGAGCTATAGGGAGCCAGAGGGGCGGGGGTGAG